GAGAGAGAGAGAGAGAGAGAGAGAGAGAGAGAGAGAGAGAGAGAGAGAGAGACGGAGTGAGTGGGATGTGGGGAGGGTGGAAGGGAGAGCGAGACGTTATTATACAGGATCCCGCAACCTGCGGTTATCCCTTTTTAGCTAGGCGCAGGGGATCGGGTGAGGCAAAGGTACCAGTGCCTGGACACTAATAACACGAGTATCTAACTCTGGATATTCTTATTGTTTTGGTCTTTAAATATGAATATTTACACGAAGTGGAAAAATTGTGGTTTCTTTTAATATAAATTTCTTTTCAGTTTTACTGTGTTTTTGATAGCTCAGAGATAGACTGTCGATATAGACTTGCTAAAGAAGTAAATTTCGCTAAAGATATAGCAGATTTCGTTAAAAACGGAGCAAGTGTTTTAATACATTTCAGTTCGTAAAATGTAAATGACGCACATGTAAAATGAGAGGATAGTTAATTACTGCAGAATGTCGATCTATTTCTCGGTTGCAGAATTCTATAATGACTTTTGCTACATTTATTATAGAATCCTCACCGTTCAATATAGAATATACACTGAAAGAAAAATGTATGATATTTGGAACTATAATGGCATAGTAAAAATATTATAGTTAGGAATATAATTTTTATAGTAAATGTTACCATAATATTTGTAATATTTACAATATAACTATAGTATAACTGACCCGTGTAAAATGTTTACCAAGAATTATAATTATTTGAAATAAAAAATATGGTAAGGTGGCAAATATTGAATGATAAGAGAAATTAACTATTTTATATAGTCAATACAATTGGAATATTTGGCAAATATAGGTATATGTAACTATATTCCCAAAAGGTGCTTTACCATATATATAGAGTAATAAGATGGTGACTATAAATCTGTGTTCATTCTACTATATCTTCATGTTTAGATGAACTATAAATATATGTTTGAGGCCAAAACGAACTATAAAATATAGTAAGATTATTGTTATTCCAACTATTTTTTTTTCTCAGTGTATGCACACATGTATTCTACATATATTCTACTAACGTTTGAAAGTTCGAATATTTGTACTTAAAAAATAAAACAAAAAAGAATACCCAGAGTTAAGTACCGATGTTATTAGCCAGTACTTTTATCTCATGTACTTTTACTTCATGCACTGAGAAAAAAGTGGTTGATCTATCTAAAATTATAGTTGTTCTTGACCCCAACTATACTTTTTGTGGTAATATAATTGTAGTAACATGCATATAAGCTTATTATCATGAATATTGTAGTAGAATTTAAATAAATTTAAATGAAAAGAATAGCTTTCTCTTGATCATAATTTATAGTCTTGATTTATCTGTAATGATTATAGTTACAAATAGGTACTGTGTAATTATAGTTGCAAACATTTTTCGCTCAGTGTGTTAGTCACGCTACTCGTGAGTTCGAGTTTGTATTTGAGTTGGAACCGAGCAGCGCCGTAAAAGGTCGACGAGCGTGTTCCTTTCATCGGCTGGGGCTCATCGCCGGTCGAGTCTATTCTAATAATCGAAGGAAATCGCGCTGCAGCGAAATTCTCGAGCGGATTCCAGCCTCCCAACGCTCGCGCGGAGCTGGTCTACTCTCGCGCTCGTACGACGCGCTAACGAGATGGCCCTCGAGGACCTCGCGCATCGTTAGACGACTTATGTTAATATCGTTGACCGAGAGCAAGTTATAAATACGAAGTGCCGGTAACCTCGACCTTAATTTCAATGACAAATTCGATGCGGCGATTCGGTTTACCGTCGCGGGAAAATATTCGTCATGAGAACCGCTCTCTCGAGGGTTCTGGGTAACTGTCCGTTGCAGTTAGCGTTAATCTTTAGGCTCTTCCGCGGGTGAGACCCCGCAGGAAGTCCGCTTTCGGATCTGACGCAAACGCGTAACGTTTCATTCCCAGGAGTGTGCGCACAGTTACTCGCCGATAATCCGAGACCGCGGTTGGCAGGAAAAATCGCACCACGGCCGTCGTGTGGAGATTCAGTCGTTGAGATTAAGGTCGGAGTTTCTGCGACACGATCCGCGTGTATACGTCAGCATACGCGTCATTGCGTTGATTCGACGTAAGTGCGGTGGCGCACATAAAAGGTGCTACCGAGACGCTCGCTCAAGTTACGAGGAAGAAGAAGACGACAACAGTCGGCTACGAGGTAATCGTAGCCGGAGCTACTTGAAGCTGCTCCTCACGCTTCAACGTAATTCAACATTAGAAATCCCGCGTTTCGCGAATCTCTCTGTGTGTGTTGCGCGTTCGCGACTTTGCCCGTTCAATAACTTTAGCTGTCACGATAACTTTGTCTTCGTTTTATCGACAACTAATTATCGAGAGATTTTTTCCTCCGAGGCTATTATCGGCCGATACAGACGATAATTCACCGCGCGTGTGTTGAAAAAAAAGAGGAGAGACTAAGGTGAGTATTAATAATCGTTAGTTCAAGCTTGCCTCAAGAGAGATACTCAGATCTGAATTTAGAATTAGATGTGAGTTTTTCAGTTGAATTACAATTGCAAATATGACGTCATAAATATTGTATGATTCAAACGAAAAACTCTGATACAACTTGAAATTCAGATTCGAGTATTTCACGTAAAACAAATTCCAAGAAAGAACTATTAACACGAATCTGAAACACAATACTGCGTCTTACTTTCGCGCGTTTCTAAGACCTGTATTAATAGTTGATTTCAATTTAAAGTTAGATTTAAAGTGAAATGATTTAATTTAGAGTGAATTTCTGAGCTGAATTACGATCGCAAACGTAATGTCACATATATTGTACAATTCAAATTAAAAACTCAAATCTAACTCTAAATTTAGATCTAAATATCTTAGGATCAGTTTCAAGTATAGCACACTATTGACACAAGCCTAAGATAAAAGCATCAACGCCTGGACATATATTTAACCCTGAACATTCTTATTGTTTCTTTGAATACGAATTAAACTTTCAACACAAAAAATAAATATCAATTATATTGAATATGTACATGTGCTCCATGCTGAAGGTTTAAATATTCGTGTTTGAAGACCAAAACAATAAGAATGTTCAGGGTTAGTTACGTGTCCGGGCATTGATGCTCTTACCATATGTATATACGTGCACGTTATATTTGCCTGGCAGTCTGGCAAAAAATCTCGGTCTGACGCTGACGAGAGAGAAGAACAAGTCCGGGAGTCTGCGTGTGCGTGTGCCGCCGCGTCAGCATTGCGTAAGGCGTTGTCAAATGGCATCCTGGTGCGACAAGGTGCGAGGTCCGACGGAAAACCGCCGCCGCCGATGGCCGACGTTATTCACCTTTGACATTGACTTTCGCATTTACTATTGACCTTGCGCGACACGTGTTATATGCATATAAATAATGTAGCCTGAAAAGGCTACTCGGATTTTCTCGCGAGTTTCGTGTTTTCCGAGTCGCTGGCAAAAAAAAGAACTTTCCTCGCGTGTTTCCCATCGCCGCTCTCCTCCCCGCGAAAATCCGTTCGCGATTAAGCGATACGCAGCGGAAAAGTACAGTCAGTGGAAGAAAGGTCGCGATATTTCGTTCAATTTTTTTTTTTTTATTAAGTTCTACTATAATGAACTTCAGAACACGTCTGATATCCAATGAGAAGATTCATCTTCTGAGATTTTATTAAAAAAAAATAGATACTCTTATTGAATGCGGGTGCGTATTGTGAAACTCTATAGTGAAAAAGAAAACTGTTGCAACACATCTTTTACCCACTGACTGTACGCGCGTGTTCACTTTTTCTTCACTTGAATTTGCGCGTCACATGAAATTTTCGCTCAAGGGACAAGAAGTTCGCAACAATGAATGAGCTAGCGACATCATGAGAGAAGTCTCGTGTGGTTCGACAGCGGGAATTTGGCCTCCCATCGTTTTGCTCACCCACGATGACGTCCTTGCGAAAGGCTTGACAGCTTTAGGCCCCGAGAACGCGTTTTCATGCAATTTCAACGGGACCTCACGGTATTAGGGAACGCCTAGTGAGTTCCAATGGAAAGTCGTTCTTTGATCATTAGGTTGCCTTCTCAAGAAAAGATTGAAAAGCCACGTCGAACACATTTGATCGCGTGTTTCGCATACAACGAGCGCTAACACACTCGCGATGAGTTTCCCCGTGAGAACACGTAATAATTTTGAGGATTTCAATAATGAACTGGAGCGACGTGTTGCAGGGAAGAATGCTACTTTCACGTTGGCAACGTGTGCGTGACAGCTGAGATGAAATCGCACATTTTTCACGCCGATTTTGTTCTTGGCGTTATAACAACATCGCGCATAGTAATTAATTAAAATACCGCGTGTAATTGATAGTTGTGTTCAATTATGAAATCATTTACGATGTTGTTGCGGAATAGACTCGCGAATGGAGATTTTCCGGGATTTGGTCAAAAGCCAGCCACGAATCGACGAAGTCTACGCGACGAGAATCACGTGCATTTATGAATAATAAAGAAACTTTGTTCGCAAAACTTGGGAGGACTTTACTGAAATTTAAATCCGCGAGATTTACATTATCGACATTGCCCTTCGGTAGGTAACTCGACTGTTACCCTCCAGTGCCTCTTTCGCGCACGCGACGGAAGAGAACAGCACTGTACGGTGCACTTCGATTTCAAATAACTGCCGAAAAATACGCGAATAATTTTAGATTTGTTTTCCATAGCTGAACTGGTTGCTAGTTCCCTTTCTCTCTTTCTTCTGACTAACTCTCAACTGTACACTTGTTTCCTTTAAGTTCCATAAATGTACATTAGTTTAGCGATAGAAAACAGACCTTTTAGTGAATTCCGGCCCGTATCAGACGAGAGATACCGGCGCTTCGTGCCTTGAGTAGCTCATGCACAAAAGGAAAAATTTCAAAAGCTGGAGATTATAGAGAAACTTATATGCTTTTACTGATAGGAAAATTAATCGACCTCAATGCGTCGGAAATAACATATGAGTGCGATAACCTAAGCGATATATACTTCCTTCCCGGAAACGGCCATCGCCAATGCCACCGAGAGAAACAACCGCGTATCTACTTGGACGGAGGTCTCTAGGCCAAGGAATCTCGTTTGCGCGAAAGAATTTAAAAAATTCTAACAACCTAGATACCTGTGTCTCTCTCTTTCTCTCTAACAATGATGCGCCGTTGTCATCCCTCGAACTTTTATCCTCTCATTATCATCGTGCGACCTTTGTCTCCTCGTCTCGGTTAGGGTGACTCGACAGAGCATCTTCTCTGAAACGTAAGGAGGAATGCAAGAAGGTTCTTGGTCCGTAAAAACTGGCGGTTTTAGAGGACGCCGGAGCGAGACCGACGAGTTCCGATGGGACGGCGTCCATGTTTTAGACCGAACTGAAAATGTCGATAATGAAGATCGATAATCCTGTTATAATCCCTTCTTTGCTTATCGACATATCGTTCTTATCGATACGAGGTTTGTTTCTAATACTGAATTAGCTACACTATCTTACACCTCTCGGTTTTCCTACCCTCTTTTATCTTCACCAAATTTTAACTGTATACCTATTGTCCAAGACGAGATAGGTTCCTAAATTATGAAACGAAAAAACAGACAACTTTTCTGACAGCGAATATATATTCATGACGACCTCGGCACGTTTCGGGTTACTCGAGCTACCCTGAATAGTTTTCTTTGGACGAAGATGCCTTTTCATGCGGGCATTCGACAGATAGTCTGACGTCTTTACTCGAAATGATGCAATACAAGCGCGCGTTTACCGCGCTACTCACTGTGATAGATCGAGGAATAAGCCGCATTCAAACAAAGTGAATGCGTTGAGTGCATCGTATAAGGTTAGGTTAGGTATTGAAAATTGAGAATCATGGATTTGGGAGACTGGAATTTGGCCAATTTGAACAGAGCGAGCTCTAAAAAGATCTAGATCAGTTACCTCGTCGAATTCCAATCTCTAACTCGCGATACTCGACCTGCAATACCCGTGATGATGACCTTCGCGAAATTCCAATTGAAACGCGCGCACAATGGGGTGCGATTTATCGAGCGTACCTTCGGTATCTTGGGGAAAATGTGAACGGCCCGCTTATTGAACACGCTGGGAAAGTTCATAGATTGTCAGGAAGCGTTTAGCGCGAAAAATTCTACTTGGGAAAGTAGCACTTGCGCGAAGTTGTTCTTTGTGTTGAACATGATCGATTGTACCCGCGCGATTACATCCATCGTGACCGACCAATCGCGGCCCACCACGTTGATGGGTGAGCGAAAATAGCCGGCGCTATGAGGCGCTGGTACGCAATAGCGGAGCAATAGCGAAGCCGAGCTATCCGATGGTGGGGGCACGGTTGCGCGCTCTGCGTGTCCTGGTTACAAGCGCGACCCCTCAGTCGATGGTGAACGCCGAGAGGTTTGTGGGTGTGGAGAGAGAGAGAAAGAGAAAGAGAGAGAGAGAGAGAGAGAGAGAGAGAGAACGACGCGGTCGGCTTGTGATACGATAATTAATATTCGTAATTACGAAGATAGATCGTCGCGTCTCGTCGCATGGCGGATTATGAACTGAAGAACTCACTGGACCCTACCTTGCCTAAGGAATCGCGCAAGGAGCTGCTGCGAAGCGAGGTGACGCGTGACGCGCTCTCAAACAGAAGCGTCATCGCATCGATCTTGTTGAACAAAGCCAGGATGAGCGTCAGGAAGCTGGCACCCAGACAACAAGAGGACATGGAGGACGATGATACGTCGACGCTCTTTAAGAGCGCGAGTTCGCGTAGCAAAAGGCGTCGGCTGGATCATCTAACGTGGGAAGAGAAGCTACAAAGAAAGTGAGTTTACTTGTCACTGTTGAAGCCGTGTCAAGCTGGGTATTGAAGATCCATTGCGCATTGGAGATTAAAATTCGAAGAAGCAGCTTATTTCGATCTTGAACCGATTGATTAAGTGTCAGTTTTTAATTTGCGTCCTTAATCTTCAATACTTAGTCTAATGCAAGCCTTAAAACAGTCAGAATGACGGAAACAAGTGGCGGAAAATTGCGTGAGACGTTTATTCGACTCTTCGTGCAGTTCTAGGAAGGAATCACGAGAATCATATGGAAATTCCGTTTACTGTGTATAACATCATATTAGCCTTGCTTACTTATCGTTATCAGCACTTTTCGATAGTCGGCGCGGCCCAGCACGTCTGCAGCGTTCTGTTTTGTTCCGAGAGACGATTACGAAAATTAAACAGTGGTACTTTTAACGCTAATTTTAACACACGACTCAGCCTTGATGCCTTCTCTTTGCACAGCCGATAAATGAAGTCTTATCATGTGACGTCAAAATGAACGATTATGTAATGATCAGCTCGCAAAAACAAAATTTGTAGAGTCACATTTGTAAGAGTTTTGAAGTGCCCAAATCTTCCTGCTTCTATGAGTATAATGATGAAATAAATTTGATGATGACGAGTCGCAAATTAGTGAAAGGATACTCATATAGCTTGTAAGTTGTGACTCAGCTGTGCGTGTTGTTGCATCAGTTTGCATCATCTCAAACTATAGACACATGTTGGATATATATTTCGTTAAAAACAAAAGTATCCATATACATGTGATTATTCACAAGATAAAAAGTGATTACTCAGAAGTATACATATACATGTGATTACTCACAAGATAATAGGTGGATAATAAACAATGATTTTGCGTCATTATACGTTGCATAATGCAATACATAATGCAATACATAACTACAATATAAAACGAAAGATGTAATATAATTAATTTCAAATTAATAAACTTTATTAATTTTATTAAAATTATTAATAAATTTATTAAAAATTTTAAAATTAACATTTTTTAAATAAATTTATTAAGGTTTTTTAATAAAACTTTTTAGTCTTACATTAAAATTAATGTATGTATTAATTTTATTAACTTAAACTTAATAAGTTTTTTATATATTTCTTAACAAGTATTTTTAATTTAATGACATATTGTTACTACATATAACGCAGTATGAAACGCAATAAATAATAAAATCTTAAATAATAAATATTTTTAGTATGATGATGATAGTTAATAAATATTTTCTAACAAATTGACAATCTTATTTGTCAGGAAAATGAAGAACAGAGTGGCAGCCCAAACCTCTCGGGATCGCAAGAAAGCCAAGTTGGATGAGCTGGAGCAGACAGTAAAGATGCTCACACAGGAATGCATAATGCTGAGGTCGCAAAACGAGTCGCTGTTGAATGAAACAAAAAGACTGAGGAAGGAATTAGACACTAAGAACAGAGAGGAGCGATACTGCACGTTGTGTCAGGCTCGTGTCCATTGTGTTGTACCCTCACTGGGATCTGCAGTATCCCCCAATGACCCTCTGCCGCAGGGTGGGACAGCACAGTCGGCAGCGCGCCTGACACCAACACCAGGAGCAATTGCTCTATTGAAGATCCTGACCATTTACCTACTCTTGAGGAACTTTGCAGTGACCTCCAGGACGACGATTACATCGAGCGACTCGAGGAACTCGCGGAGAGTCTATTACGAGAAGTTAATATCGAAGTGCAAGCAACTCCTGATAAGTCAAATGAACAAGTGAGTATTGGGAGTTTATGTGGTTAGCTAACGATCATCTTGCACTTGCTTTCCTTGTTTTTTTCTCTAGTTTCCTTTGTCAATCTGTCCCACTAAGGAAATATTTAGTAAGATTTGTGTGTTGATCAATTATGACTTGCAAGTCCAACATTATTCCTATATTTCCTTATTTCTTCTCCGAACACTTGCTTTTGAAGCAATCATGCTTTTACTCACATAATAACTTGGACATAGAAGTGAATGAAATATTCTAAGACGGAAAGGAATTCTGTTTTTGATTAGACCCGTGTACAAATTGAACATGATCTAGACAATTATATGGTCGTTATATATATATATATACATATATATATATATATATATATATATATATATATATATATATATATATATATATATATATATATATATATATATATATATATATATATATATATA